AGCAGGCCCGTTTTGGTATGTTTTTTCTGTGTCATCAACTCCAACAAACGGATTTTCCATTTTAAACCATCCATTTTGGGGGTACCCCCCATTTTAGGAAACCTCCAAATTGCCAGCGCCCTGCTAGTTTCATGTGCAGGAAAGAAACGCCTTACTTGAGAGGTTTCCGCAGAGCCAGCTGCTCTCCCGCCAATGGCCTTGGGTCTCAGAGTTCTTGCACCAGGGATGGAAGATACCCTCTGGTAATTTAACATAGCTATATATAATGGATATAATATATAGTATATATATAATATTATATATAAATATTATATATATAATAATAATAATATATATATATATACACACACTATACATAATTATGGATAATTACCATTGTTAATAGCTAAATCATCTATAACTGGGCCATTTTCCATAGCTAATGTATGTTAAAATTACCAGAGAGTATTGTTTCTGGTGGTTAGATGAAGTTCAAGATGAAGTCATGACCATGGCTCATCACATCGCTCTGTTCATTCCCTACTTCATTGCTACGCTTCCCTACTCCCCTTCATTGGTTTACGTCCCGGTTTTTGTTGATGTTCTCCCCAGTTTTGTTGATTGAAGACGTCGCCAGTTCTTTTCTTTGGCATCTATCCTCAGTCCTCACTTTTTCAGCATTTTTGTGGTTCATCGAACCCGGGTGTTCATTGGTTGTGTATCGGGTCTCAGGTCGGGCCCCTCTGCTGGTGGTGAAGCTCGAAGGGCTTGCGTGCCAGCGGATGCGCAATCCATGCTGGTTGCAGGCTGGTGGTTTCAATGTTTGAAATTATCCATCTACATTTTTTGAAACATTTCAAACATAGATAATTGATATTATTCTCTACTACTTCTAAAACATCTATCTAAATTATCTATCTATCTACATTGATATTCTCTTCTTTTATCTCTGAGCCAGTCGAGTTGATGAATTTTCGAATGGTGAACCACCCGTGCAGGCTGTCTGGATGGAACCAAGCAGCAGGCAGCTAAGGGCATCCTTTCCTGGTTTCTCAGCTACAAAGCTGGGAGGAAAGGAAGTACATGGGTTCAATATCACTTTCAAAACAAGCGTGGCATGGAAAAATGGGCGAGGTCTTCAATCCACAAGGTCCTGTCAATTTTGTGCGCCATGGGCATTTGTGGTGATGGTTGTTCTTTTGGGGTTTACTGGACCATGATCCACTGGTTGGTTCGGTTTCATGTGTCCAAGGCTGTCCAAGCAGAATATCAACATCTCTACCTCGGAGGTGTGGCATTTCGATGACCGCTCCGAGAACATCGTGGGCTTCAGAGGAACAGGAATGAATGCCCGACAAGTCTCCTGTGCCACAAGGTAGGGAGCACACCAGCGGGGGCTCAACAATTTCCATGTGGTTGCTTGGTTTGGCATGGTAGGATGTTAGAGGCGCACTGCGACTTTCCATAGCTCAAGGTTTACACAGATTTACACATGTTCATACCAAAGGCGAATTCCCATCCAGACATCCAACCGGGGCGCAAATCAGGGACCAGCACGAAGGCATTGGTGTTTGCGGAGGTGTCCCGCAGGCAGAAAGCGAAAAATCTTGGGCGTTGCGTGGGACGGTAGAATCAGATCACCAGAGATGTGTGTAAATAATGTGGGTGTGAAGTAGAATTTTGGTTGAAAGATGCTTAAGATTGATGTTGCGCTGTCATGCCTGGTCCATCAAACATCTCCAAACCAACGTCTCACGACCCATTGGCAATTTTTTCCGGCAGAAGACATCCCCATTGTAATTACATCTGGGGTCTCAAAGTTTGGAACCTCAAATCCCACGGTTCCCATTGAAATTTGGCATCCCATGGCATCCGCCAGGAAGTCTGGCGCCAGCCGGGCGTTTCCCTGTGTGGAACGGAAAACGTTGTCGTTTGAGCCGGCGATGGCTCAGCCGAGAATCAATTGACTAAAGAAAGGGGCATTTTTTAGTATGAACATTATATATTAAAAGAGGCCCCTTTCTGAAATAGTATTAACATTTTATATTTTAGTATAAGTTCATATTCTATGCAATTTTGAGGGTACCATGATTTTGAGGTTTTGAGCCGTGTCCTTAGCATTTTGCAGTTTCACTACACGTTGAAGAGACGTGATGATTAGCGACGATCGCTGTTGAATGGAAGGGGCCCTTTGGACTCACGGGCATTTGGCCCTGAGTTTCATGAAATGGACACTTCCACAGCTTCACTCGCACCTTCATGTGCTGCAGATAGCCTTACAGAGAAAAAAGACTGAGCAAGTGCCTGTCGGAAGTGTTGAGAGTTGTTCATTTTGTTTTCCTTCTTGGAAATGGGTTTTGTGCAAGTTTCGCTGGGCGTGTCTGGAATCCGGGATATCCGGATCCCAAATTGCCAGATTTTCCTTGGAAACATGATCATAAAACATCATAAACCCACGATAAACGAACACGAAAACCGGTGGCTTTTGGGGTGGTGATTTCAGCCAGACCTGGTCCCAGGCCCCGCACTTGCCTAGCCTGGCAACGATGCGACCAGGGTGGCCGAATGTGGCTATGGAAAGGGAACAGGTTGCATTTTGACACCGTATTCCGTAATCATTCAATATTTCAATATGATATAATCACGAAAGGTCACGAAAGGTAGCGTCAGCTACCTGAGTTCTCCGTGCTTCAGCACAAGCTTAGGGGGTATTGGGGGGCCAGCCCGTGCAATTCATGGAATTCTCGCCGTTATGTATTGGATATCAATTATAAGGGGGGGGCCCCCCCCCCCCGAAAATGGTCATGGGTTCAATTCCCACGGGTGACGCGGTCACGGGCCCCCACATTAGAGGCACACTTTCCATGAGGGAGATGTCCCTGTAGTCCAGCATAATTGGTATGCTTCAGCCTCAATAACAGTTGCTGCAAGGGGTCTTAAAAAGGGTTTTAAATCAACCCCTTTTCGTGCATCATTTCACGCAGCACAAGACACAGTGTCATGCAGTCATGCTCTGGATAAAATCATCTTAGACTGCGCAAAAACGTTTTTGGTGTATCATCTTAGGGGCGCAGCATTTTGACACCACTCCTCTCCCACTACACTACCTTTCGTCCGCCTCCGCCTGCTCTCAAGTACAGATACAATATTACAACTTAACTACATTCAACTCTACTACAATCATCTAATATTTCACTATAAGAACTATAATCTATCATGCAAGCAAGAATGACCAGTAGCAGTAGCATGCAGTAGCAGTGACCACACCGGTAATCTATGTACTATAATCACTATAATCTATCATATAGCTACATAATAGCCCTGAATATCATATACTTATCTTCGTCGTCGTTCTTTCTTAGCTCATCCCTGCAGGTCGAAATTACCCTCATTGGAAGCTACTGAGGCAGAGGCCGCTCTTCGCTTTCAGGGAAGTATGAGGTGTAGGGTTGCTGAAGCAGTACTAGTGTTGTTTTTGGGGATTCTGTCCCGGTTCATACGGTTTTGTTTGTTAGGAGCTTTGGATGAAAGCAGCAAAATAAGTTCCTTGAAAAGCAAAGCTTGACATCCGACAAGCACGGAAGTAGTGGCTGTTCAGCACTATCCCCAAGAATCCAGCATCCATGAATGGTGTATTATATATACTCGTCCCAGTTGCCGAACGTAAGCAACAGCTCCTGCAATGGCGACTTGTGTTCCTCAGAAGTCGCAGTGCAGGACTCTGATGGCCGTGCATGGAGCATTTGGGCAGCAGAGATGGCAATTTTTGGCTGTACCGTGTCACCACAAATTTTTTGACTCGGAGCCATGGTTTTAGAAGTTTCTGTTTGAAGAAATCTGCAGGAAAGATACTCACATGATCTCACATGTCTTTGGATGAGACAGCTTGATTGGGATGCACACTTCGAGTTCTCAAGCCGATAACAATAGTCATGATTTTCATGATTTCCTATTGGTATCCACACGCATGCTGTGATCATTGTGATTTCCATGACAATTTCAACGGTGCGCTTGTTGCCTAGGTGAACACTCCTTGGGGGTTCCCGGCTCAGCCAACCTCTGAAATGCCACCATGAAACAGGATGAAACAGGGCCCTGTTTGAATCAGCAATCCATTCCACTATATTCGATTATTATATTATACTACTGTATATTCCAGCCAGATTCCATGTTATGGTTGGATTATATCATATTCTGTATATAGATACCATAGATACCATGGCTATTTTTGGAAAAACCAACCCTTAAGTGATGACCATCCGAGCCTCTCATGACCAGGCTACGGCCATGGAGTCGGAGCTTCAACAGATTGCTGCCCAGCGGGAGAAACTAGGCGACACGCTATCGACACAGGAGGTCTTGGCTCAACAGGTGCGGAAACGTTGAAATTTCGAAATGTCGCGTTGGAGAACGACCCTTTTGGGCTTGGAATTGATAAATCTGATAAGATTAATAAGGTGGGATATGGGGCCGAGATATAACTATGGACATATATCATCACATATCCACTTATAATGATTTACTGGATTCATAATGTGGATTGTAACTGATTGTACTGTATTTCTGCTCTGTTCTGTATGGCCATGTGAAAACGGAGGATGAAAACTGCATTAGAATGCATTGTGAAAAAAAACAAAGTTGCCCATGCGTTTGGTATTGCGGTCATAGTCTCAACACTCGATTGTACATTGTACATGTTGTCCATGTCCGCAACATTGTCATGGCGGGCAGCTTGAGAAAACATCATGCTTGCATTGATATATGTGAGTTTAGCTTGAAATGCATATCATTGTTGTAGTAGATATATACAATTAAACATATATATATATATACATACATACTAATATATACATACATATATATGTATATATATATATGATATAATAGTCAATTGTAGTGTGAGTGTTATAGTCTTGGCCAAATTGGAAGATCTTGCCAACAACAGAGCTAGGCACCTGGTTTATCAGCCGAGCTTCTGATTGCAGGTGAACGGCGACCAGGGCGGTGCTGTCCCTGAAGTACAGGCAGAGTGATGGAAAACACCCATGTACCACACTTAAAAGTAGGAATCAACATGAATAAACCAAGCAAATTGGAAGATATATGAAGATATTGCAAAATGATCGTGCGAACACAGAACTGATTAAATGTTGCCCTTGACAACTAGCAGTTGTTTACAGCCACCAAAGGCTGCCCCGGTGTCAGTGGTAAGAGCGAAGGCGCGCTCCTCAGCTGGTGCAGCTGCACTAGGCCACTAGCCTTGACGGTCGCAAGTTCAAGGGCATACATGTCGCTGCATTGATCGCCGAGCTACAGACGAGCATGCACTAATGAGTCAACGAGAATTTTCGCATCTCAGGTGATGTTTCCGAATCTCAGGTGTGACTTCCAGGGCACAGACATTTGCGAGCTCCTGAAAAGAATATGGACTGCAACAGAAGAGACATGGCAGAAGCAAAGTATCCCTTTGGCCTTCTGACATAAGTCAGCAAATCTGGCCCTGAAACGCCACATTTCGGCACCATGGGAGCCTTCGGTGACGTTTGGCAAGTGATGAAGATCTACTGGTCGCTGTTGTTGGGTAATGTTTTGGAATGGCACCTGGGTCTTCTGGCTTCATATGAACATTTTCCATCCCTTGAGATGTTGATCCCCTACAAAATTGTGGCTCCAATCCATCAAACATCAACATCAAAGATCCATCATTCAGATCCATCAAATGTGGTTTAATTCGCATCAACATCATAACTTAACATCACATCCATCATGAATATATGAACATTCCCGACAACAACTTCCAAAAAACATCAACATCAACATCATAACATCAATCAGAACAGTTCCATCAACATCAATCAGAACAGCTCCATCAACATCAGGTACGAATTCGCGGTCGATGGTTTCTTGGCACCCTATTTCCAGAGCAACTTCTTCGCGGGTTCCGCCATCAGCACCTGGTTGGGCTTCGCATCCACCTTCCTGGCGCGGCCCTTCGGGGGCATTGTTTTGGGAGTGCTTGGAGACCTCTTTGGACGGAAGGCGCGAAACGCGAAACAGGAACTCAAGGGGATGGGAACCTGGGAACTTGGAATTTCCAGCATTTCTTTTTTTATTTTGGAATATATGTCTGATCGTTTTATATAGTTTTCATGACTTTTGTGAAACCTTTTTGGATACTGTCCGGTTTCCTGTGATGATTTAAGAGGGATTCGGCTGCTGTGTTTGTCTGGAGGGGAAACATCCCCATTTGTCTGGCAGGTCTCTACATTTCTGTCCATCTTCGGAATGTTGATCGGAACTGTAGGACAAGGGCTGGTTCCAACCTCTCACAGTGGTCCAATCGCAGGGACCATTGGTGTAGTACTACTTGTTGCACTCCGCATTTTGCAAGGCATCTGTACTGGTGGAGAAATAGCGGCCGTGTCCACCTACATCACGGAAGTTGGGCCGAAACGATCACTGGCCAGATCCATGGTTCTCATCGGCATCACCTGCAACGTGGGCTTCTTGCTGGCTCAGTTTGCAAGCTATGCAGCGTTGAAGATTCTAGGGGAAGAGACCATGGTCAGTTGGGGCTGGCGGATTCCTTTCTTTTTGGCGCTTCTTCCAGGGGTCATTGCTGCATCTGGTAGGAGATGCATACCGGAAAGCCGCAGTTTCCTGGAGGCGCAAGCGAATACTGCGGAGACTCAGGCGCCTCAAAGGGATCCTGAGTTGGTTCGTTGCGAATGAGGTCTAGTAGATCATGTAGATCATTGGATATTACATGATATTAAATATTAGATTATTATTTACATTACAAAGTTTGTATCTTAGTCGAAAAATCAGTTTTCTTTTGGGTCTTAGGGTTTTTTCCTAAGTGAGGAGGTGATTCCTCCAATCCTGACGCCAGGCGGGAGCTCCTCGTTCTGCACTTCGAGACGCTGCCAGCAAGATCAAGTCACTTTTCAGGTTTCACCGACCTGCGCTTTTAGTTGCTTGGACTATTGGATAGAGAATCACTGGAATGGATTCGATATGATTTGATGTAATTGATATATATATAATTATATATATATATATAATTATATATATAATTATATATATATATATATT